GTAGTTGATATGATTGCTACATGATAGTAAGGAAATCGCCAAAAAAATTTCCAAAATGTTTATTGAAAAAAATCTGTGTACAAGTGGACTCATAGACTTCAAATCCGTGTTGTTCAAGGCTCAACCATATAAGACTGAATCACACAGTCTTATTGGGCCAAGAAGCTCAGAGTCATTGAAATATGAAGAGGTCATGACGAAATCACACAGCTCATAAGCACAAACTCAACAATCAATTCAAATTCTCGGGAAGAAAAGAGGTTAATGTGGGTGCTTGGCATGGCACTGCTTTCCTGCTCATATTATAGCCAGGAATGAAGGCAAGAAGTGATGACTGTCAGAAAGCCTGAAACGGAGCGGGAATTATGATAACACCCCAAGGAACAGCCTTTCCTTTCAGAGTCAGAGCAGGATCTGAAAAATATTTTTCTTGAGAAATGAACAAAGGTGACATTTTTACCCCTTGGGCTTAGAAGTGGGTCAGCACACATTTGGAAAATAAATAACTCCTGGCTGATTTGATGCAGATGTAATCCACAGCTGTCTAAGCAGGGGCAGAGCGGGTGTCAACCACTTGCCATACATTTACATGTAAGCATGTCAGAATTCATGAAACGTGGACTACTTGTGCATAAAATAGTTTGTTTCTCTTTCTGCTGTTTAAGTCTTTACTTTCTAAAAAATATTGTGATGCCAGATAACTGAGTATATAGGAGCTGCCATCATTATTCAAGAAACACTTGTTAAACATTTTTGAGTGCTTAGTAGGCACCAGGTGTTACAGTGGGTGAATAAATGATGGCTAAAAACCCTGTGATAGCTACTTATTTGCAGGACTTTTAGCTAATATTCCATCAGCTTCTATGAATTACATCAGCATATATATTTCTTAACAAACATGCAGATAAGCTTCCAGAGTAGTGCTTCCCAATAGGATTATTTGTAATGTAGACATGTCCTGTATCTGTGCTGTCCAGTATAGTAGCCATTAACCATATCCTGCCACTGAGCACTTAAAATGTGATTAAGCCCTGACCGGTTTGGCTCAGTGGATAGAGCGTCGGCCTGTGGACTCAAGGGTCCCAGGTCCGAATCCGGTCAAGGGCGTGTACCTTGGTTGTGGGCACATCCCCAGTGGGGGGTGTGCAGGAGGCGGCTGATCGATGTTTCTCTCTCATCGATGTTTCTAACTTTCTATCCCTTTCCCTTCCTCTCTGTAAAAAAAATCAATAAAATATATTTAAAAAAAATGTGATTAATACACCCGAGGACTGAATTGTATTACATTAAATTTAATTTTAATTAATTAAAATTTAAATAGCCACATATGAATAGTGAGAACAGTACTGAACACCACAATTCCAGAAAATCAGAACTATACAGTATACCTTCATTTTCTAAACTCAGCCACATGAATTCTAAGCATGTAAGAGGATTTTAAAAGACACTTTTCCATTAAATTATATTATTCATGTTATTATGAAGGCTCAAATCTGAGTTCATGTGAAGATCAATACGGCTCTGAAACTAAGAATAGATCTGAGAAAAATGATAGAAGATTTATGTGACTAGATCTCTGATTTAAAGTGGTCAATGCATCTTGGGAAATCTGGACATTATGGACTATCATAGACTAAAGAAGGTAGTGGGGCTTTTTGAGATTATGAAAATCTATCAATTGAAAAATTAAGCTATTAAATAACTGGTGCAAATGGAATAGGAAATGCAGAAAGTAAAGACCACATGTGGCAGATAAAAATCGGGAGGGCTATCTCCCCCACGGAGGTCCAGGCCCACACCAGTCCCCTGAGTGCAGGGTTTCGTGCCAGGAAGAGATGTCTCCATAAATTCTGGCTGAAAAAACCAGCAGGGATCGGAGCCCCAGAAGTTCCTCTAAAGGGCCCACACATGGACTTACTTGGACTTACTTGCTCTAAGTTCCAGTGCTGGGGGACATACAGGGAGGAACTGAGTAGCTTGGGATCAGGTGAGAGTTGGAGGGGCAACTTTCTCCCAGACAGAAGTCTTGGCAGATTGTTCCTTTCCTGAGCCCTTCCCCCAAATAGCTAGCAGGTAGGCACCGTATCGAAGTCTCCATCAACCTGGCTAATATTGTAACTTTGCCCTAGTAATTCCCTGAGATCCTACCTCACACAACTTGTAGGCCCACTCAAATCGTTTCCAGTGGCTTTTCCATACAAATGGTCTGTCTTGGCCCATGGTCCAGGCTTTTCTAAAATCTCTCTAACAAGCAGCATCTGCGTAGGTGTGCCCTGTACATCTTACTAAGTGGCCTCAGGCTCAGCACTAGACACAGCCATTCTTGGTTCACAGCTTTGCCTCTCCTGAGCACCTTCAAGCCCATCACAAGGAGTAGCCATCTGCATATCACTTTGTAGCTCAGGCTGGGTGGCCCCAGGTAGGGTACAGATGGCAGCTGACCTTGGCCTGCACCTCCTGGGAGGTCCCAGAACCAGCACACTCAGTGGACAGCTTCAGGCCACATCAAAGCACCATCCTACCACCTTCACAAATGACAGACTCAAGGGGCAAACTCAGTGGGTACCAGAGCCCTCCTGAAGTAAGTCATGCTCTGTGGGGTGGGCCCCAGAATAGCTGATCCTTTATGGTGGTCACAACCAGTCCTCACAGCTGGTGAGCCTGGGGGTAAATCCCTCCCATTGAGACACCAACAGCTCAACTACAACAGGAGGTTGTACACAGCCCACCAGGAGTGCCCAGATCAGGTGAACAGGAGGCTGTGCCTCTGGATGTTACAGGATACCTACATAAGGTTACTCTACCAGGCCCAGGAGACATAGCTGCTCTACCTAATACATAGAAACAAACACAGGGAGGCTGCCAAAATGAGGGACAAAGAAACATGTCCTAAATCAAAGAACAGGATAAAACTTTAGAAAAAGAACTAAACAAAATGGAGATAAGCAATCTAACAGATGCAGAGTTCAAAACACAGGTTATAAGGATGCTTAGTGAAGTTAGGAAAAGGGTAGATGAACTTAATGAGAACGTCAACAGAGAGATAGGAAACAAAAATATAGATAGAAAACATAAGAAAGAACCAGTCAGAAATGAAGAATACATTAACTGAAATAAAGAACACATTACAGAGAATCAACTATAGAGTAGATGAAGCAGAGGATTAAATCAGAGATTTGAAAGATAAGGAAGCACAGAACACCCATTCAGGACAGCAAAAAGAAAAAATAATCCCCCCAAAATGAGGATAGTTTAAGAAGCATCTGGAACAACTTAAAGCTTACCAACATAAGCATTATGAGGAGTGCCAGAAGGAGATGAGAGAGAACGAGGAATTGCAAACCTATGTGAAAAAATAATGACAGAATACTTTCCTAACCTGGTGAAGGAAACAGATATAAAAATTCAGCAAGTGCAGATAGTCCCAAACAAGGTGAACCCAAAGAGACCCACATGAAGGCACATCATAGGTAATGGGAAAACATTGTAGATTCACACCAAAAAATAGTGGATAAATAGATTAGTCAATGACATGATCAAAGATAAATTTGGGGAAAGGCAATGCCAGAAAGCAGTTAGGAGTATATTACAACAATCTGAGTATGAGATAATGACCTGACAAAGATGGTAGCTGCAGAAATGGAAATAAAAGGGCACATACTAGTATAAGAGACATTTTGAAGAAAGAATGAGTTGAATTTGAATTTCCCAGCCTGTGTGCCCAGGTGTTACAGGGGAGTTGAGATACCCATGAAGGCCTCGGGGGCTGTGGTGAACACCCTGCTCCCCAGGCAATTACTTTCAGACACAAGCCGCCTTTTTATTCAATCAATTTAATATCATAATTTCCTACATGGGACATGACCTGAAAGATTGTGATAATCACTGAATTAAAGTGCTTAGTGACAGTGACACTTAAAAGCAAAGGAGAGAAAGAGTTAAAATGGCTACAACACATTTATTCTTCAAGACAGGATGGGTGGTGCTGATGGAAGTGGGGAAGGGAACAGGTTTGCAGCATTTTGTTTTGGATATTTCAGTTGCTGTGAATATGAAAAATTTCTGTGAACCAGTCGTTGTAATAACAGGATTGAAACAAAGATGAAAGGTTTCTTAGAGCTGGAGGTTGATGGCACCGATAACGGAACACAGTCAATTGCATTTGGCCAAAACACCCTCAGCGGTGGTGGATTAGTGGATTGACATCAGCTTGCCCCTGTCTCCTTTGTCTCGTCTGCTCTATTAATCATTTTCATCTTCATGTTAGACGAAGATATAAAGGTATTCTGATATTTACAAATCATACAAATATTGAAGGACTAGCTAAGATGTTGGCTGATATAATCAAGATTCAGAATAATTTGTTGAGCCTAAACTAAGATGATAAAAATAACAAGTGCATCCCACAGTGCAAATATACTCGATGCCACTGAACTGCTCTATCTATCTATCTAAAATACTGTGGAGTTTGAGAAGGTAAAAGAGAATGCTTTACCCTTTGTTAGGTGAATTTTTATTTTCTTCCTTTGGGCCTCTCCTAAAGATTCAATTGTAACTTGACAACGATCAAGATATTTAATTAAGCCAAGATAAATTTGTTTGCAATACTTTTGTGGGCCACACCTCCTGCCTACTGAAGGGACAATAAAGGGCAGTTATTGTGTGTGGAGAAAGCTGGATGAGGACTATGAAGTCTCTGCTGACCGGGAAAAGAGCTATTTATCACTGGGTGCAGGAAGAGAAAAAAGGAGCCCTCAAGCCCTCTAAGTATTTGTATGTTATTTTTACAACAGCCCCCATCAAATCAGTAGAAAGAATGTCTAGCAGCATACCAAGAATAACTAAACAAACAAAAATTAAGAAATAGTGCTTAGAAAGGCTTATTTAGCCCCTAGGAGAGCCGAGGGGCTCTCAGGGCGGGGCTTTAGGCTTTGTTTACCTCTTGCCTCCAACAGCTAAGTTTTCAAACCACTTCCCCTTCTAACACATGAAAACCTCTTTGTTGTGCATGAGAAACTGCTGAAGGTTTCTGCACCTTCCAGTGTGCCTGGTGTGGTCAGCTCAGGCTGTTTAGAGCTTTGGGTGTAAGTGGGTCATCACCCCAGGGTCTCCCTGACTTCATTCTGGGAGATGGACAAGGTAGAAGGGGACCTGAGCTTCACTTTCACTCCCTGACTTTGGAGCTACGTATCCTCAGGTCAGCTTATTCCCTCACCTTCCCCTTTATTCCCGTCTCATTCTTTTCCACTTCCTTCTTTCACTTGTTCCTCAAAACCTAGAGTGGCGGAGAGGTGGTAAAAAGGGAGAGAAATGAGATGGAGATTGGGCGTGGGGGTGGGGTTCCACCCTACTTCCTTATTTTTTCTCATTTCTCCAGGTGGCTCCAGGTAGGCAAAGGAACAGGTATGTTGAGTTGATGGTGCCCTGCACAACCCTAGGGAACGTCATTCGCAATGTGACCTACGATACAGAGCACTTCCCAGTGAGAAATCTGCCTGATTTGAAAAGCAGGTGCATTGGAAAAGGGCCTTGTGGTTTTGGCCCATTTGAATTCTTCCTGCTACATTTTAAGCTTTTCTTTTTGCTGGAGGGCACCTATTTGCAATCATCTGTTCAGGGAATTTGTTACTTGAAATGCGAATCTCTTTTAAACTTACATTAAAGCCCAAAGAAAGTTTCATCAGGCCAAGGATTTTATATCATGTTCCTTTTTGATTGTATTTCCTTCAAATTTGTCAGTGACCCTGAGGATATGTTTCTGAAAACCTTCAGAACTCTTTACATGTGTCATGTTCCAGAAACTGTTAAATCACTTTATTGTGTTTTTTTTTTCTTTTTCTCTAAAAATAATCTGAACACTCTTAGGTTGACTCAAAGTTTTTCTTTTCAACCACAATCCACAATTTTCTTAAAGTTGTCAAATGGTAGAATCCAGACTTCATTATAAAAAGGTATGTGTCTGTTCTACCACAATTTAAAAAGAAGTGTGTGTGTGTGTGTGTGAATGAGGTCTGTGTGGGGGGAGTGTTTCTTCTCATCTGCACAGTGATATTTTCCCAATTCAAAATGAAATATAAAGTCATAATCCCATAAATCTCTGTGCTAATCACATCATTAATAAACATTGGCCTGTGTTGGTGAGGATGTGTACATCGTAGGGAGTGTGAGGTAGAGGGGATGGAGAACATAACTTACCAGGCTTTTCTGAGAGAGAAGCAAGAATAAGATGATGGTTGGTTGGATGGGGTTTACTTGTGACTTTTTGAATGGGTGCTAGCTGAGAATTCACCATCGTCTCCATGACCCCAACAGTCCCTTAGAAGTGAGAGGATAGAGAAGGGAGCTGCACTGAGGGACGACTGAGAGAGGAGGCTTTGTGGATCGGGGTTTCCAGATGAGAAGAGGAGGAACAGGCTTTTATACAGCTTGGCAAGCAGAGTTACTAGCGACTATAGAGTCCATCTTCATGGAAGACTACATCAGAAAACCCTGGAGGGGGTGTTTGTTTAGTTCCACTTAAAAAAAAAAAAAAAGAAGAAATTTCATAGCAATGCTCTTATGCCAAGGGAAGAAAGAAAAAGAATTTTTCTTCTGTTTTGTTTATGCTTAATCTAGAGGGAAAAAATATAAAATGGTATAGCTCCTTTTGCAGTGGACAGATGACCCAGGGCATAAAAAAATGAGAAAACAATAAAACAGGGGTAAAGCTGAGTGACCAATGGGACAACCCTCTTTTTTCCCCATTGACTCCCTTCACCTCACATAGCTCCAGCCCTCCAACCCCCCTAGGCCTTCACCACACTATGGTCTGTGTCCTTGGGTCATGCATATATGCATACAAATTCTTTGGTTAATCTCTCCCCCTACCTTTGAAGCATTTTAAATAACAAATAAGATAGCAAACATTCCCTGAGCTCCTTCCTTGTTCTCTGGTAGGCACAGTACCAAAAGCTTCCTGCAATGATGGCGCATTTGATACCTGTGAGGCAGACTATCATTGCCCCCACTTTACAGAGGGGAAAACTGGGCCACCAGAGTGAAGCAGCTTGCCCAAGGTGCAAGCAGGTAGCAAGAGGATAAGTTGGAATTGCATGTGGATTGTCTGGCTCTGGAGACTGTTCACAACCACTGTGCAAACCCATTAGACAGATGACCCACTGGAGTGTGTGTGGGCAACACAGACTGCCTGGTAGGAAGTTGAGGGAGATGTGATCTGACAAATAAATCAAGGCCTCTTCTTTTATTATGTTATTCTTCTTTCTCAACATTCTCTGATCCTATAGGGATATGATGTTAGAATAGAAATAGGATACTAAGTTTTAAAAACCACTGGAGATGGGTTATTATCATCTGATTTGAAATCTCAACCATTTAGCACATCAGTTTTGAGAAAATGTAAAGCATTTATCTTAAATTTATCTTAAAGAGCTCTTAATTCCCCACAGGCAAAACAAAACAAGACAAAACAAACCAAATAAAACAAAACACACACACACACACACACACACACACACACACACACACACACACACACACACGGGACTGAAAATTGTCAATATTTAAGTTGGAACTCCAAAAAAAGAAGTGTACCAGAGTTTTGCTTTGATACTTGGAACCCTGTGAACATGTGTAGTTTGGGATTCTTGGCTGACTTTGAAATCCACTTACTGGGTCAGAATCGCCAACATTCTCGGAACTGACACGGACATTTCTGGTCTCCTTTTAAGGACTGTGGATTGTTGTTGGTGCCATAAGCACAATTCAACAAACTGTGTTCATGCCTGTGGAAAACTCAAACTGCAGATTTCCTGTTGTCCTTAGGGTAGATAATATTAAAAGTTTCTACGACTAACTGCAAAAACAGGTTAGCTGCACTAGCTAAGGGTTCATACAAGCCACAAGTCAACAGTGTGCTCTCAAAAAAGGCAGAAAGAACACATTTTGTAGAGGGCAAACAAGTAGGTTGGCAGACCAGTCATGGATTCCTCATTACTACTTTTAGAGGAATGTGGCAATTTTGGACTCTGAGTCTCAAAGATGCTATTATGAAAGTGAACTTCAAGCTGTGTGGACAGAATCAGGTTGCCAAGGGGATTGTAATCAGTTATTTTTCCCAAAGAGAAGTCAACATATAATGGGGAAGAGGAGGAGTTACTAGGATATTTTAGCTCTTGTGAGAACAGCCATTCTTCATTTGTCAAAGAACTATAAATGAAGGAAAAGGACTTACATAGTGAAAAAAGTTTGAATGGGATATTAATTAATCCATTTGGCCAATATTAATAAAGCTTCTGGCACAAACCCGACAATGGATTAGGGGCTTTTTAAGTAGAGGCAATTTGGACAAGGGTCACATTTAGAGACTGCTATTCCGGTTGGGGACAGAGCAGAATAACAAAAGTTTTCCTGGTAGCCCCATTGGCGGGGCTCAGTGGTTGAGTGTCCACCTATAAACCAGGAGGTCATAGTTTGATTCCCAGTCAGGGCACATGCCCAGACTTAATCCCTGGTGGGGGATGTGCAGGAGGCAGCCAATCAACCATTCTCTCTAAAAATTGATGTTTCTATCTCTCTCTTCCTCTCCCTTCCTCTCTGAAATCAATAAAAATATACTTAAAAAAATGTTTTCCTGGTAGTGTGATGGCGCATTGAGGACACAAAAGGAAGATATCCAGTTCTTTGGGGGATACCAGGGTTTGGGAGTTAGAAAATGTGACCCTGAAATATGAGTGTCCCAGATAGGGTATTCTAAATATTGTAAATATTCCCTTTGGAATGAACAAAGATACTGTTGGTCACACGGTCTAGCACCACACTGTCCAATGTGATAGCCACTTGTCACACGTGGCTATTTAAGTTTAACTTTATATCAATTAAAATGAAATAAAATGGCAAATTCAGTGGCACTAGCCATATTTTAAGCACATAGGAGCCAAATGTGACTGGCGGTTACTGCATCAGACGGTACAGACGTGCAAACATCTCCAGCACCACAGAAATTCTCACTGGACAAGCACTGCTAGAGGATAGGTGGAAGGCAGTGATGGCGAACCTATGACACGCGTGTCAGAGGTGACACGCGAACTCATTTTTTTGGTTGATTTTTCTTTGTTAAATGGCATTTAAATATATAAAATAAATATCAAAAATATAAATCTTTGTTTTACAATGGTTGCAAATATCAGAAAATTTCTATATGTGACGCAGCACCAGAGTTAAGTTAGGGTTTTTCAAAATGCTGACACGCTGAGCTCAAAAGGTTCGCCATCACTGGTGTAAGGTGTGGCCGGAGCCATGCCTGCAGGCAGAGGCTATAGCTAGAGGCCTTACATGTCATAACATGGAGCTCAGATTTTATCCACTAGGACAGGCATCAGCTAACTTCTTCTGTAAAGGGCCAGATTGTCAATAGTTTTGGCTCTTGGGACCACACAGTCTTTGCCAAAACAATACAGCTCTGATGTTGATGTTGAGATCAACCATAGACAATACATAAACAAATAAGCATGGCTGTGTTCTAATAATACTCTATTTGTAAGAACTGGCAAAGGGGTGGATTTGGCCCTCAGACCGTGGTAGCTTGCTGACCCTGCTCTAGCCCATTAAGAGCCACCTGAAGGCTTTGAAGCCAGAAAGTTGCATAACTAGATGTGTGCTTTAGAAAGATCCTTCTAGTAGTAGAGTGAGGACAGATTTAAGAAGTGTGGGATATAAGACTATAATAGTCCAGTCAAAGAGGACAGGGGCCTGAAATCTGAATGTTACCCAATGAATACGGTTGAAGAAAGAGAATGTGTTTGTGCTTTTAAGTTGGGTAGCAGGGCACTGGTGACAGTGGAGAAATATGGAATGACATAGAAGAATAAAGCTTGGGTGATTGGGTAGTTGGTGGCTCACTGAGTTAGAGAATATAGGAGTAGGAAGAGATTTGGGGAAGGACGATGACTCCGGTATGGGTCAGGTAGCATTTGAGGTGCCATACATGTGAGTCATCAGCAGAGGATTAGTAGCTAAAGCCTTGAGTCATGGAAAATACCCAGGGAGAGAGTCAGAGTGAGAGGGATGAAAATAATAGTGCCTTGAGTATCACCAAAGTGGAAGGCTCAAGGGAACTGAGAAGGAATTGTTACTGGCATCAGGATGAGAACCAGGGAAGAATGGTATTGCAGGGAACCAGAGAAGACTTTCAGAATACCAATGAGAAGACTAAAAAGATTCCATTAAGTTTGGTAATTAAAAAGCAGTTTTGGAATGTTACCCAGAATAGATTTGATAAAAGAAAATAAGACCATGAAAATCACCACGAAATTGTCTAAGATCTCTCTCACTTTCTTTTTTTAAAAAAATATGTTAAAAGGGTTGAAACACTTTTTATGTTCTTGGTTTTTCTTTTAGCACTAAGT